AGGCTCTTCTGGAGTCTGGAAGCCCCTCCCGTGGAGCAAGCGCACTGGGCCCACCATGGTCTCCTGTGTCCTCCCAGCTCTGAGGTCACAGAATTGATGTGTAAGCTCATTGACTACCCTTTACCCCACCCCTGTTAAGTAGTCTAGTGTGGCCTGGCTCACCTTAGGATGAGACCAGAGGGGAAGGGGAGCTTCCATCCCCACCCCCTTTCATAGAAGTGAAATGGAGGCCTGGAGAAGAGAAAGAAGCCGAGGTCACAGAGTCTGAAGTTCTTGCAACCCCATTGCAATGATCTTCCTTGTATGGCTGCCAGCCCTGGCTGGAACCTCCCTGCCTCAGCAAGTTCTCAGTACTCCTTGTAATCCCCAGGAAAAGGCCAGTTGGGAATCCGACCCACCAGCCTCCCTGGACACCCCTAGTATTTCTAGACATCAAGCAACAGTCATGTTCAGGTCCTCCTCAGGATCCCTCTTGGGACTCTGCTCCAGACACACTCAAGGACGATGGCCCTCATGTGTCCAGTCCCGTACAACACGATGAAGCACGCTTTCTCTAAATACCAGTAGCACCTGCTTCAGTTTACCTGCCAAACTTCTTTAAAAGGTTTATTTTTCATTTTTATTTTATTTTTATTTTCTATGTGTAAGAATGTTTAGCCTGCACTTAATGCATGTATACCACATCTGTCCCTGGTGCCCAGGGGGGCCAGAAGAGGGCGTCAGATTCTTTGGAATTAGAGTTACAGACATTTGCGTGCTGGGAACTGAACCTGGGTCCTATGCAAAAGCAGCCAGTGCTTTTAACTGATGAATCATCTCTCCAGCCCTCCTGTCAAACTTCTTTACCACTCTCCTGCTTGAACTAACTTCATACCAATTGTAAAATTCCTGGCTGGCTGCTCTGGGTAGCTGGGATCTTAAGCTTTTCTCAGCAGCCTCCAGCAGAAGCATGTGGCATGCCAGGCCTATTTCACATATGTAAGGACTGTGGATCAGAGAGGACAAGCAACTGGAGCAAAGTCCCACAGCAAATCCATATCTGTGTGGAGCTGTGTAGGTGGCAGAACTGAACCCCAGAGTTGCAGCTCTGGTAGCTCCCCTCTTTGGCAGAGCCCTTCCCCTGCTGAAACTGACTGAAGCCCCCACATGGCCAGTCTTTCCGAACTCCGCCTCCTTCTGTCCTCACAGGCAGCTCAAAGCCTCAGGCATACCTGGGACCCACTCACAGTACAGATTGGGAGCCTCCCACCCTCCCCTTTCCTCTCCCTGACCATGGCCCAGATCCTCACATCTGTCCACCTGTTCTCAGTCTGGGGAATTCTTTCCCCAGACGCTGTTTAGGGTCTGCACCTGTCAGCTGAACCATGGACAGCAGCAAGCAGCCCACTGGCCCTCAGGGCTCCAAGAGAGAAACATATAACCTAAAAATACACTTTCTAGCATTTTCTCTAAAGTCCTATTTTAGGCAATGGCTGACATTTTCCACGGAAAATGTAATCTCCAGTGTCCTGCATTGAGATTAAAATCAAACAGACTTTCCCTTCTGATCTATTTAACTGAAGCGAACAGGAAAGGTGGGGGAGGGGCAAGCAGGCCCAGTTTCTGGGCCAGTACTCCCACGGAGCAGAGTCCCTTAGCGGTCATCTTAGCTGTGCCCCTACAGCAAACAAAGCAGTGCCCACCCCACAGCACATGTCAGCAGCTTCTGCTGGGCTCTATCCAGGGGTCTCTCACCTTGCTAAGTCTCACGGCCACAAGAAGGTCTGTCAGTCTCACCTGACTCTCTCATTCCTTTTCTCTGGTCTTTTGCTCTGAGGCAAACTCCCCACCCCACCCCAGGCTCCATGCCCCCTGTGACGTAGATTCCACAGGATTAGGCCTGGGGTTAGGACACCCGTCACAGGCACACACACCAGTACTAGTCTTCAAGCTACATTCTGCCTGCCCTCAGGGTGAATTTCTAGTTCCCCTTTTCTACTTGTCTACCTGGATCTCCCCTTTGGCTCCCTGACCCACAGTGACCCACTCTTTAAAAGTCATCGTATTTCCCCAAACATGTCTGCTTCTCCCAGCTTGAGGCCACACTATAACCATGCGTTTCTCAGTCCATGAGAGTTTCCAAAAAAAGGATGTGTGTTAGTTCCCAGTTGGCAGGCTAGGTTTTTGGTGCAAGGCTCCCTGGAAGGTCACTGTCCCACAGACTGCTCTGTGAAGATGGATGGAGTTTCTGTCCCATCTGGCATAGCAGTCCCTAGCTACATGTGGACGCTGAAACCTGGGGAAGTGGCTAGTGTGCCTGAGGGTGACATTACTACTTTTATTGACTTCATTCGTTGAAACTCAAGCAGTCACATGAGGCAGCTAGCTGTTTGCCACCATGGATGGCATGGGCTGGGATACTGACCCTCCCCTACAGGGGTACTTATCCATGAGTGATACAAGCCTCTCTGCTAACCCTTTGTGTATACTGTTCTCTAGGATTCTGACTCAGCTTGAGGAAATACTATTATCACCTCTGCTCCGGGCCTCCTGTGCTAACCCCTAGGTTACCCTGCCTTCCTTTTCCAGGTCCCTTACCTGCCCAGTTGAGGCCACCTAAAAGACCTTGGGGTCCTGCATATTTACCTGGATGCCCATTCCTTTGTAGTGAGCCCAGATCCACCTGCCCAAAGACCTAGTCACAGGTGGGGTTTTGGGGGCCACTACATTCTGCCCATTCAAGTCTGGTCTGCTTCAAATGCTGATTCTGAAGGACCCGACTCTCTTTCACATGAGCGAGTCTCAGGGTCACAGAGGAAGCCCAGGTCTGGAAGAGTCCCCGGTGAAGGGAAAGATAAGATACTGGCTCTCCTACCTGTCCCTAGCTGATCCTAAGGACTGGTGTGGTGCCAGGCCTGCCTTGGTACAAATGTCCTATTTGCTAAATGGAGGGTTGCCTGTCCTGTCCACCACAGTGTTGACAGCTACACAGGACAAAGGCAGTAACCTGGTAGGATCCTATCCCCAATGGACTGGCCCAGGCCTAGGATCCCCTGAGTCTCACACAGAGACTCAGAACATGGAATCTGGTCCCAAGGACATGAGCTCACATCCTTCTCTAATTCTTGTTATGCCAAGGCCACCGGCAGGCCCAGAGCACAAAAGCTGTGGTGACAGGGATGCCCCTTAAGGCTGACTGAAGGCCGAATGATTGGCAGAAAGCTCCTGAGAGGGACTGCACAGTCACAGGTGACAAGGACAGCACAATCACCTGTTGTCAGCACACTGACAGAGATGGACTATCAACTCCACTGCAGGACTTGGTTAAAGCAGCACCTCCAGCACCCAGAACAGCGCCGGGCACAGGACATGGAGCCCTGCTCTGCCCCACTCCAGAGAGTCAAAGCCCAGGAACAGCCAGCCCCTGAGGCTTTCCCTGACCTGCCCAGCTTGCCTTTCCACGGTCACCCCCCTATTTTATGTGCATGTATCTCTACAATCAAGCAAGAGGCTTCATGAGGGCCTTCTGTTTTCCTCCGTGTACCCTTCTCATTACCTCATCAAGATTGAAAGAAGCCAGGGGCCTTTTATTCCAACCTTGTCACTTCGCCACTCTTTGACCAGGAATTAAGACTGGGCCTCCCGCCACTAGATCTTAGGAGCACCAAGGCTGGAGCCACACTGTGCCCCCACCCCCAGGGTCATTGTTTATTCAGTCGCTCAGGCCTACTGCCCATACCCTGGAGCTATGGAGCAGAGGGTGCAGAGCCAAGTACACCACTGGGCTCCCCCACCCTCCTTCCTGGGCTCCATGCACCACCTGCTCCTCTAATTCCCCCCTCCAACTCCTTCCTTCTCTCAACATTGAAAACTGGAATTTCGGCTTCTAAATGTCAGTTCCAGCTGGGAGAGGCGGGCACTCACCAAGGTCTTCCTCCAAGGCAAATTTACAGAGCAATTAAATTGTCACTTGTGGAGGCAGGGAGAGGCTCTAGCTAGGCAGGGCCCGCCCAGCCCACCTGGCTTTGACCTGTCTCCAGGATCCACCTGGAGTGGATAGCCTGGTCTGCTGCTGAGGGGGACTGCTCAGGGGGCCAGGGAGAAATGGCTCTAGAGCTGCAGAAGGACACACCAGCCTACCCAGAGCTGCTGGTGAAGGGTTTGTCAACAGCTGTGTGTCTTGCCACATCACAGGGCAGACTCCATCTTGCTCAGGGTACACCGATTTTCAGCTGGGGAAGGACTTGGCAGACCTCAGTAAGAGCCAGGAGATGTGACAAGAGTGAAGCCCAAAATGGCTGCAGGTAACATAGCACCCAGCAGAAGCAGTTTCAGACCCTGAAAGGCACTTAGCAGACAGGGGTGGGGGGTCCCATCTCTACCATGCTGAAGACACTGGGACCCAAAAAGCACATGTATGCCAGAGGTCATCCAGAGTGTGAGGCCACACCTGCCCTATCCTTGTGGTTTCTGGGGGTCACACATATGGGTTTCCCCTGTTTGGTGCCAAATGGGGCCTGGGCTGAAGGCAGGAAACAAAGTCACAGCTAGGGCACTGCTGAGCCCTCCTGGGATTTCTCCTGACCCAACATCCTTGGCTCTCCAGGGTCCTCAGGGGTGGGTGTTTGTGTTAGGATGAGCCTAGCACAGTCTAGCCTCTGGCCTTGGTCTATGCTGTTTAGGGACATACAGATGTCAGATGGCTTCTGAGCAACCAAAGATGCCGAACCTGACTTGAAAACAGAAAAAAAATGCAAGGAAAGCTAGAAGAGGAACTTTCCCATCAGACGAGCCCAGGTCAAATGTGGGCTTTGATACCACTGTCTAGGTGGCGGAAGTTGGCAGGTTGACTGCTTCAGCCCCATGGACAGTGACTCAGCCACAGACCCTACACGTGAAAAAAAAAAAAAAATCCTGTTTTGCTCACCAGTTCCACTAGGAGCTTGTCCTGAAATTCCACTCATAGTGGTGTCATGATGTGGGGATGGAAGGCTCCTAGTAATACTGGGTGGACTAGCAAAAGCCACGAACAACCCAGCCATGGGAAGTGTGCTGAAGAAACTGCAGCCTGCCATGATGAAACCCTGTGCAGCCACGAGGAAGCCCAGGGCAGCTGGGTAGTCATATCCAGGAGCTCTAGCCAAGAGGACCATCACAACCAGGCTACCTCTCTCCCTGTGAAAACAACCCTGAACCCTAGATCCCATGCACACTCAATGTGTATCCAGGAAGGAGAATGGTGGCTGGGAATAGAGTTGGGGAGACTTTATTTCATACTTTTTGTACCCTTTGAAGATTATACTTTGTATAACTTTTGATTTAAAAAATAAATTTAGAATTAGGAATGTAGCTCAGTGGTTTGAAAACTAGCCTGGCCTGTGTAAGGCCCTGGGTCAATCCTGAGCACAGTTAAAACAAAAACAAAGCATCCATCAGACAGAGCATGGTGGCACAGGCCTATAACCCCAGCACTCAGGAGGCTGCAGCTGGAAGAACACAAGTTCCAGGCTAACAGGGCTACAGAGGCTGGTGGTGTTTTCATGTGTGTTGAACCTCCCAGCTGGTCTGTTCAGTAGCTGTGCGAGGCTTCTACCCAACTTTGAGGTTTTTCTATCAGGGAAGGGAGGGGAGAGTTGGGAGGGTGAGATTCCCCACTGCCCCCACCATTTCTCCACCCGAGGCAGAATTTGCAAACTTTGAGGAGTTAAGCAAATGACTTCCTTGTGGTTTCCAGCACTAACGACTTTGCAGGTGCATAGCTGCCTATAGTAAGGGGAACACTAGTCCCTGGGGTGCCCCCTTTGCCTGCACACCCTGCCCATCCTGTCACCCAGCCTCTGGCCCAGAGCCCAGCCCCACCTCCTAGTTCCAGGGCAGGATGACTCTATGTAAGTGACCTCACTATGCACAAACAACCCTGACATGGGTCCTACTGTACTCTTATAACACAGAAACCGAGGCAGAGCGTCTGAGTGGCCTGCTTAGGACAAAGCAGAGGTAGGATGTTCACCCAGT